GGGGCAGCTGCGCGGCTTGGGAGGAGGGGGACAGCTGCGTGGCCCCAAGTGATCCCCGCCCGGCCCCGGGGTGTGCCGCAGCTCCCCGAGCCCTGCCGTGCGCGCTCCTTGGATGCAGCCCTTGCAACAGCCGCCACCGCACGGCCTGGGCCTTGCAGGCCCACACACCTGGGTGCGCTGACGACTGCTGCACCGACTGGGCGTGTGACCTTGGGCACACCTGGTCCCTGGAGAGTCGGGTGCAATTGTGGCTCCTGCTCCTGCGGCTACTGGGAGGGAGGACTGGGTTGGAATCTGGTTCAGGGCCAGCCGCCAAGGGCTCCGTGCAGACCTGTTCCGATTCTGATTTCTGTTAAGAGGCCCTTGTCTGCAGCAGAGGGGGTCAGTGGGGGCTGATCAGGGAACAGGGAGGCTGCTTTGCACACCAGGGCTGACCCAGCTGTGTGTCTGTCCTCCCTCCTGTGCACGGAAGGCCACACTCCAGCCAGCTCTACCAGCATGTGCCAGAGACACACTGGCCCATCGTGTACTCCCCGCGCTACAACATTACCTTCATGGGCCTGGAGAAGCTGCACCCTTTCGATGCCGGGAAATGGGGCAAGGTGATCAATTTCCTAAAAGGTAGGGAAGGTTTCCTGGGGCCCTGCGTGGGCTTCCTCACCCCCCCGGGTCCTCCCCATCCTCATCCCCATCGGGAGCATCAGACTCTTGCCTCTGGATTCAACCATCACATTCCCTTACGCTCCTCCCTGTGGCAAAAGCATCTTCCAGAACAGACTCCCAAGCACAGACTCACCGTCTGTGGCTCCCCACTGCTGCGGATAAAGTCCCCCCTCTGCCCCACAGACCCAGATGGAGGAGCTGGCTAACGCTAGACCCAGGGACGTGGGAGTCTGAAGGACTCTAATACCCACTCAGAGAACCTGGGACCTGGGGCGCTTTTGCTCCAACGTTGTCTGATGACAGATGGGGAAACTGGGCCCAGAAAGGTTGCAAACATGCCTAAAACACACAGCATCCTGCGAGCCTGAAGCCAAGGGGAAGTCTGCAGGCCCCGCCCACTCCTGGCTTATCCTGGATGATTTTCCTTCAGAGCATCCAAAGTGATGCCCTGGGATCTGACTGTCCCTCCTGATCACACCATGGGCAAGGTCCCCTCTTGGGACCAGCCTGTCCTTGACACCTAAGCCCGGTTCTCTTTTTCACAAAAGCTAGAGCAAGGCTTGGCCCCTGAGTCCTGTGGAAAATAGGGTCCAACTGGAGATTAATAACACTGGCTGTTTTCCATCTTATATTTTTTAAATTTCTGGTTGTTTTTTCTCTCTGGCGAGTGAGACTGGCTTTCCACTTGCAGTAGGGGCTGGAGTGGGCATTCAGAGGAAAACAGGAAGCATAAACTCACAGGTGACAGGGACAGTGACAACCGAGGCCAGTTGAGAGGCAAGAGCCTGCCTGACGCTCACTCGGGAGTGGCCCTGCCTTCCTCAATGATGTCCTCCCTCACTGTCTGCTCGGCCCTTGTGGGGCTTCTGCATCACCCAGGATCTCAGCAGAAGAGTTCCTGTCTCCTTCTCCTAGGGGACAATAGTGAGGCCAGCTCACTCCTGGCTCCCGAGGATGAGCATGGGAGGGAGGCAGGAGCCATGGGGCGAGGGGCCTTGGATGCCCTGCTAAGGAAGGAGCCATGGAATATTCTGGAATGGAGTTCCTGCTTGGAGCTCTGTATAGAAAATGTATGGCACTAGTTGGTTCCCACCAGGGCTGATTTCTGTTGCTTTTTTATTTATTTGTACCTGGGATTGAACTCAGGGGCCCTCAACCATGAGCCCCCCTCCCCAGCCCTATTTTGTATTTTATTTAGAGACAGGGTCTCGCTGAGTTGCTTAGGGCCTTGCTAAGTGGCTGAGGCTGGCCTCCACCTTGCGATCCTCCTGCCTCAGCCTCCGGAGGGGCTGGGATTCTAGGCGTGGGCAGCTGCCACAGGTTCTACTTTTGCAAAATGGAGCAAATCTCGTCGACGTAAGGGAGATGGAAATCACGCCGTGTTGCCCAACACCAGTCACTTGCAACCCACTCTTGGGAGCCTGCCGGGCTCTTCATACCACCTGTTCCACTATTTACTGCATATTTTTAATGACTTCGCCTCTGGGTTGTTGTTGTTTTTTTGTTTTTTTTCTTAACAAACTTAAATTTGATAGAAGAGGAAACATTATGTCATCTAAATGGGAAAAGCCAGTCTCATGGGCCAAAAATAGAAGGTCATGGTTAAAACGAAGCCATGAAACAGCTACGTCATCCAGTCCTGGCTGGTGGCTGTGGCGCAACTGCCGCTCACCCTTGGTGACAGAGATGTGAGCGGAGGCCAGGTGGGCGTGGAGGAGAGGCCTGTGGCTGTCTTGGTGGCCTGGGAAGTCCGAGGTTTGCTGTGCGCGTAGGGTTCAGTGTCACCGTCACCCGAGGGCCTGGCGGTCATCCACCGTGGCCTGAGAGGCAGCCCGGGGTCAGGATGCCCCAGGCCCACCGTGCCCAGCTCTGGGGACAGGGCTGTGCAGGTCCAGGCTGCAGCCGGGGAGGGCCAGGTGGGCGGGGGCTGAGCAGGAGGAAGCAGCGCCGTCTGTCTGTCTGTTGCAGAGGAAAACCTGCTGTCAGACGGCATGCTGGTGGAGGCACGGGAGGCCTCGGAGGAGGACCTGCTGGTGGTGCACACGAGGCGCTACCTCAATGAGCTAAAGGTAGGCCGCTGGGGACCTGGGGCTCCTCCCACCAGGGGTGTGGCCAGAGTGGGCGCTGGGCCTCAGGCCACCCTCTCTGTTCCTATTGAAGGAGGAACATGGGAGTCACTTCTCTCTGGAGGAGAAGACAGAGGCCTCAGAAAGCCTTCTTGGTATGTAGTGAGCTCCCCTTGGTCAGGAGATGTGGAAACAGGGCTTTTCCCTGGGCACCGTGGCGCACGCCTATGATCCCAGTGGGAGGCTGAGGCAGGAGGATCGCAAGTCGGAGGCCAGCCTCAGCAATGTAGCAACTCAGCGAGACCCTGTCTCTAAATAAAATAGAAAAAGGGCTGGGGACGGGGCTCAGGGGGTAGTCAACCTGGGTTCAATCCCTGGTACCAAAAAGAAAGAAAGAAAAGAAGGAAAGAAACAAGGATTTTCTCCTGAACCTTCTGCTTCGTGGGACGCAGTCACTTCTACTTTGGTGACTTTCAGTCTGGGCTCCGCGAACAGATCTCAGAGACCCTGCTGGGATGACTGCAGTGGGGGAGAGGAGACCCTGTCCCCTGGCCCCATCCACCTCACCCTCTTCTGCTTCTGCCTGTTTTTATATTAGGCTGAACTCTAAGATTCAGTTCCAAGGACTTCTCATAAAGACTTGCCAAACCTGTTGGGCTCAAAACTAGTTTGACTCTGCCCAGGGACCAGCAGGGGACATAAAGAAGTTGGTGGGCAGGCGACAGACTAGGGCACACTGGAGGACTGCTATGGCTACTGTGCAGGTCCACGGTGCGTCCACGGTGGGCCCCGTGTGGCCAGTGCACCTGGCTTTCTAAGAGAAGCCGGAAATTCAGATGATTAAATGAGAGTTTCTTATTTATGAATGTGGCAACTCATTTTTTTTTCTTTTGGGCACCAGGGATTAAACCCAGGCTGCTTAACCCCTGAGCCCTGTCCCCAGCCCTTTTTATTTATATTTTATTTAGAGACAGGGTCTCGCTGAATCGCTCAGGGCTTTGCTTTTGCTGAGGCTGGCCTCCACCTTGCCATCCTCCTGCCTCAGCCTCCTGAGCCACTGGGATGACACTTGTGCTTGTTATAAGATTTTAAAATTCCACACAGAGACCAACCTGGGCCCCCCGGCTGCCCACTGAGGACCCGTCTCTGGAGGAGACCTCACAGCTCTTGTTAGTGGCTGAGGTTCCGAGGGCCCGGGCATTTAGGTCCCGTTAGTGGGAGCAGAGAGCAGGCGGGAGTGTGTGGCTGCTGGGGATCTGCTCCTACCAGCCAGCCTCGGGGTGGGGCCGTGTCAGCAAGGCCTGACCCCCAGCTGCCTGGCTGGACTCGCAGTGGACTCAGTCACGTGGGCGCCAGAGGTCAGCAGGCCCCTGCTGTGTGGGTAGAAAAGCGAGGCCCAGAGAGAGGCTGCGTCTGCTCAAGATGGCCGGGAGGGGTGACCCGGCAGGACATCCCACAGCCCTCGGGGCTCCCTGTCCTCCCCTCCTCCCAGGGTCCTCCCAGGGGACCCCAGTCAATAACCCAGGGGCTGCACCAGGAGGACACATCTGTCATGGTCCCAAGGGCCAGCGGAAGGCAGGGGCCGGAGGCGCTGAATGGGGCAGGGAGAGGTCAGATCAGAATGGAACCAAGATAAGACTGGGGTCAGGCTCCAGGTGCCCATTTGGGGAACTTCTAGGGAAGTGTCCATTCCTGGCCTCTTCCTTCCAAAAACCCGGGAGCAGCTTGCTTCGTGATAAAGAGTAATGATTTAAAGGTCTGAGCAGGGAGAGTCCTAGGTATAGACTGAGGCCGGAGGAGAACGCAGGCTTGGCACCTGAAGGGGAAAGTGAAGGTACTAGGTGGGCTGTCCATTTAGCATGGAGCTCCCTGGCAGCGAGAGCAAAAGGGGAAATGTGATGATTTCCAAGATGCCTACTGAGGAGAAGAACTGGTCAGGCCACACACGTTGCTCCATGCCAGTGGTGTGCTGAGCGCCAAGAGAATGCGGCTCAGGGTTCCTGCCTCTGTGGATTGGCCAGTCAGTGGTGGAGGCTTGAAACCAAGATAATCGCACAAGAGCATCTTAGTTCATCCCAGCCACTCAGGAGGCTGAGGCAGGAGGATCGCAAGTTGGAGGCCAGCCTCAGCAAAAGCGAGACCCTAAGCAGCTCAGCAAGACCCTGTCTCTGAATAAACTACAAAGTGGGACTGGGGACAGGGCTCAGGGGTCGAGGGCCTCTGAGGTCAATCCCTGGTACCAAAAAAAAAAAGAGAGAGAGAGAGAGAGCATCAAGTAAGGAGGTGAGGTTTAAATTGTCACCAGAGACAACAAAGAGGTGACAAGCCAGTGGAGCTGTGAAGGGAGAAGGTGCCACAGACTGGGAAGGGGAGGGGTCTTGGTTTCCCATGGAGGGGAGGGACCCCCTGGTGGCCAGGGAAGGTTGGGCTATCGGGAGAGGCTTGGCTGTGGGGGACGAGGTGCCGGGTGGCCTGCAGTGGCCCCGTCCGTGGCTGTTCTCTGTGAGTTACGTAATGGTCACCCTGTCCCCTGCTGTGTCCCTCTCTGTCCTCACCCCAGTTCTGGGCTTCATGCCCGGCCCTGCAGGAGTGTCCATGCACAGGGCACCGAGGAGAAAAGCCATCAGATGTTTGCAACAAAACATCAGAGCAGGGAAACCTGTGTTTACTGAGCACCTACTGTGTGCAAGGTCCAGAGGTGCCCATGGAGGGAGGCAGTTGGGCTCGGCCAGTGCTGGGCTCCTGCCTTCAGCGGACTTCCATGACCCTTTGTCTTGCGGTCCGGGTCCGTGCTGGGCAGCATGGGCATGTGTCCTTGGGCACCCTGTGCCAGGCTGTGCCGGTCACACGCCACTCCAGTGGACGCCCAGGAGCCCAACATTGTTGTGGGTGCTGCAGGGCTAGGATGGAACATAGGAGGCCAACTCCTTTCCCTGTGGAGCTGAAAGGTTGGAAAGCCAGTCAACAAACAAAATTACCAAGTAATGGAGTCACCAACCTCAGCTCCTGGGGGCAGAAGTCCCTGGTAGAGGGGGAGCGAAAGGGAACTTGGAGTCAGTCAGTCTCTCTGTCTCTCCCTCTCCTCTTCCCTCTCTCCTCTTTAAAACTATTTTGATAAAATTCATGGCTGGGCCAAGTGGAAATCCCATTGCCAAATTCAAGCTCATAAAGATTTACCCCTAGGATGGGCGCAGTGGCCCACGCGTGTCATCCCAGCGGCTGGGGAGGCTGAGGCAGGAGGATTGTGAGTTCAAGGCCAGCCTCAGCAACTGCGAGGCCCTAAGCAGCTCAGTGAGGCCCTGTCTCTAAATAAAATACGAAATAGGGTTGGGGACGGGGCCAGTGGTCGAGTGTCCCTGGGTTAAGTCCCCGATGCCTAAGACTTACCGTCCACGTGGTGTGAGGTTAGAGTCCAGCTTCATCCTTTTCCACGTGGGTGTCCAGTTCTCTCAGGGAGAGTGTTTTCTTTCCTCCGTCAAATGGTCCCGGTACCTGGTGGAGAGATGTCACAGGTGTGTGGACCTGTTCCTGGGCTCCCACGTCCATGCCCCTGACCCCTGGGTCTGCCGTCTGTCAGCCGGCCTCATCCCTGGGTCTCTGTAACAGGTCTCGACGTGTGGACTCCCAAACCAACTTGGTCCTTCTGTTTCCAGATTGTTTTGGCCACTTGGGCTTCTTTGAGAGTCCGTATGCATTATAGGGTCCACTTGTCCCTTTTCTGACAGGGACTGCCTCCAGTCTGTGGGCCTCCTCGGGAGGTCCTGCCTCTTCCCCGTGTTTGGTCTCCCGATCCATGAACATGGGATGTCTTTCCGTTCGCTGAGGTTTTCTTTCATCTCTTTCAGGGGTGTTTTCTAGTTTTCCGTAGCTCAGTCTTTCACCTTGTGGTTAAATTCATTCTCAAGCATGTTGATTCTTCTCGAAGCTATTAATGGAACGGCCTCCTTGGTTTCGTTTTTAGAGAGACAACTGATTTTTGCACATGGATCTTATATCCTGCAACCTTGCCGTGTTGTTCTCACGTCAGTGTTTGCGTGTGTACATTCTCCAGGATCTTCTGAATCTGTCATCGTGCCCTCTGTGGATAGACTGAGTTTTACTTTCTAATCTGGGTGCATTTTTATTTATTTTTCTTGCTTAATTGCTTAGGCTTGACCCTCTAATACTGTGTTGAGTAGAAACGGCAAAGCAGGCAACTTTGTCTTAGCACTGACTTTAGGTGGAAAGTCGTTTACCATTATGATATTCACTGTGGGTATTGTTTGATTTATTTTGTTTTGGGGTGTAGGTTAAAAAATAAATGCCCTTTGGCCAGGCACGATGGCACACTCCTGTCATCCCAGCAACTTGGGAGGCTGAGGCAGGAGGATCGCAAGTTGGAGAACAGACTCAGTAACTTAGCATGGCCCTCAGCAATTTAGCAAGACCCGGTCTCAAAATAAAAAATAAAAAGGCCTAGGGATGGCCGGGTGTAGTGGCATACTCCTCTAATCCCAGCGGCTCAGGAGGCTGAGGAAGGAGGATCACAAGGTGGAGGCCAGCCTCAGCAATTTAGCAAGGCCCTGAGCAACTCAGTGAGACCCTGTCTCTAAATAGAATGTAAAAAGGGCTGGGGACAGGGCAGAGTCACTTCCACGGGAACAGTGGGGTGGCCGGTCCCCCCTTGACCATACTCCTGGGTCCGGACCTCTGTGAGGATGTCCGCAGGGGAGACCCAGCCGCAGGAGAGTGGGGTCTCTGCAGCAGGGCGGGTGGGCAGAAGGTTCCAGAGTGGGCCTGGCCGTGTGCCCTGCAGACGTGGCCCCCCACTGAGGCTAGCCGGGTGGAGGCCCTGACTCCTGGCCACCGTCTGGCGGGACCTCCCACCCTGCCTGGCCCAGGGGTCCCGGGCGTGGCCTCAGGTCGGTCCTGACCACCCGCGTGGCTCGTCCCAACCTGTGCCTGCCAGTGCCACCCGGGGCTTTGGGATCCGATGTCCCCGATGTCCCCGATGTCCCTGGTGTGGACTGCGCTTTGGCCTGTGTGACATATTCTCAGTGCTATGCTGCTGCCCTTGGGCCACCACAGCCTTAAGAGCAGAGCCAGGGGTGGGGACCCGGCTGGGGGCAGTTCCAGGAGCATCCTGGGCGGGGAGGGCAGGCAAGGTGCTGCCACCGTAGTGAGGGACGCAGTGACCACCGGGGACAAGTGCTGCAGGAAGGGAGAGCCGAGGGGCTCAGGGCAGCCCAGGTCCGGGTAGTGGAGATGGCCGAGGACAGGCCCCTGCGACAGGTGTCCGTTCCAGGGCCTCACTTGAGGCCCTGTTTGCAGATGGGGAGCCCAAAGCACAGAGAGGGCAAGGGCTGTGTCCAAAATCACACAGCCCAGGGCAGGGCCCAGGGAAGAGGCTGCTGCCGGCCTGTCCCCGCCCCACTTCTGTCCAGCCTGGCCCCAGAGCCGAGCCCTTGCTGGGTGGGGTTAGCAGAGGGCCTCCTGTGCCTCGCCCTCTGCTTCACACTGGAGCAGCTTGGGACACCACTCCCAACTGCAGCCTCCCCACTGCTGCAGCGACAGTGTGCACGGGCAGGACCCGCCCAGGACGGTCACCCACCGCCCTGCAGGGATGCTGACCCCCTGAGACCGTCCCCAGCCCTGTTTAATTTAATTTAGATTCAGGGTCTCCCTGAGTTGCTCAGGGCCTTGCTAAGTGGCTGAGGCTGGCCTCCAACTTGCCATCCTCCTGCCTCAGCCTCCTGAGCCGCTGGGATGACAGGTAGCGCACAGGTAGCCTGGCCCCGGCTCCCGGCTTCTCTTGATCATGGACTTGAGCCTCCTGCGAGGCTGAGCGGCCTGGCCTGAGGGTGGGCGCCCAGGAGGCTGGTGCTAGTGCTTGCAAGGTGAGTGACTTGTGCCTGGACATGTCACTGGGCCCTGTGGGGCTCTTGCAGGAGTTGGTGACAGGGAAAGTGCCCTGGATGCATCTCAGGCAGGCAGGGTTGGGGTCAGTGCGTGATGTGTGTGCCCGGGGACCTGGCCATCGCAGGCGTATGCTGGGGGTCTGGGGGTCTGAGACCCCTGGAGAGGCCTCTGGGTCCTTCACTTACCCCCTCAAGAGCAGAAGACTGAGCAGGCCGGCCTAGGTCCACCCGGCTGCAGTTCTTGCTGTGGACACCAGAGGGCACCCACGGGCTTCAGGCGCCCAGGACCCTGGGGCTGACCTGGTCCTGCAGCCTGGCCTGGGAGGGGCCGGTGGCCGTAGCAGCCCTGCCCTCCCTCCGACTGTCCCACCCTCTGTCCCTTCCTTCCATGGTGGAGACTGAACCAGGGGTTCTTCACCCCCGAGCCCCGTCCCCAGCCCTTTTCATTTCATTTAGAGACAGGGCCTCGCTGAGTTGCTCAGGGCCTCGCTGGGTTGTTGAGGCTGGCCTCCAACTCGTGATCCTCCTGCCTCAGCCTCCTGAGCTGCTAGGATCGCAGGCCAGTGCGCTGTGCCTGGCCCTGGCTCTCACTTCCTGCCACAGGAAGTGCATTTACCCAGGGAGCCCAAGTCCGTCCCGGGCGCTGAGGGGAGTCTCACTTCCTGGGTCCTCCTCTCTCTCCACAGTGGTCCTTCGCGGTCGCCACCATCACAGAGATCCCTCCTGTCATCTTCCTCCCCAACTTCCTTGTGCAGAGGAAGGTGCTGCGGCCCCTTCGGATCCAGACAGGAGGAACCATCATGGTAGGTAGGGTGGGCCCACCAGGTGCCTCTCCTGCCCTGCAGTGCCCGCCCCCACTCAGGGTGGAGAGCAAAGCCCTAAATGTCACTCAAACCGCAGAAGAGGGACCCTTTCTCCAAGACCCTTGCCCATCTGGGGACCTTAGAATTCACTGTTCCTTCCCCGCATTCCGGTCGCCATATTTGCTGGTGTAGAAGGTGCCTCTAACCCCCAGAGCATGTTCTGCGGGGCTTGGTGGCTAAGCCTGTGATCTGAGCTATTCTGGAGGCTGGGGCAGGAGGATCGCAAGGTGGAGGCCAGCCTCAGCCACTTAGCAAGGCCCTGAGCAACTGAGAGAGACCCTGTCTCTAAATAAAATATGACAAGGGCTGGGGATGGGGCTCAGGGGTTGAGCAGCCCTGGGTTCAATTCCTGGGACCCAAACAAACAAAATCAAATCACCCTCTTCTGGTGATAAGTCCTCAGTTTGATTCTGCCCCCCTGCCCAGTCGCAGGTTTGGCCCAGGAAGGGCTGAGTGGGCTGGGGCTGGGGTGGGTGGCTCCTGCGTCCTCCCCCGGTGGCCACAGGGAGCTGGCTGGAACCCCGTGGGTGGAGCGGGTGGAGGGGCCGCCTCACCTCACTCTCTGCTTGTCCCCGAAGGCGGGAAAGCTGGCGGTGGAGCGCGGCTGGGCCATCAACGTAGGTGAGTGCCCCGTGGAGCTGGCCTGAGGGGGGCTGGGGACAGGAAGGGACTAGAGGTAGCCACCCTGAATTCCTTATGCAGGGACCTGGAGGCACCCTCAGGGCACCTGGTAAGTGGGACCCTCACCTAGAGAGTTCCCCAGCCTCCCTCCAGAGAGCCTGCCTGTCCCCTAGGCAGGTCGCTAGGACACCTGCCTCCACATGGCCCCTGAAAGGCTCCATCTGCCCAGCCGCTCAGGAGGCTGAGGCAGGAGGACTGAGAGTTGGAGGCCAGCCTCAGCAAAAGTGAGGCCCTGAGCAGCTCAGCGAGACCCTGTCTCTAAATAAAATAGAAAAAGGGCTGGGGACGGGGTCAGGGGTCAGGTGCCCCCGAGTTCAGTCCCCAGTACCCCCCTTGCCCCCACAAAAAAAGAAAGAAAGGCTCTGGTGTCCCCAGGGCCTGGGCTGGTCACACGTCGGTGGGCAGACGCACCTTCTCAGGGCCCAGCGCCTCCTGGCCCCTGGACTTTCGCACAAGCTTGGCTCCCTCGCCCCATCACTCCCTCTTGGGGACACAGCACTCACAGTCTGCGGAGCCCCCTGGTGTCCTCTCCTACTTGAGGCAGCCCAGTTCCCACCAGGAGGCTCCTGTGGGCCTTGGCCGTGACCTCCTTCTGGTCACCTCTGGGTGCTGATGCCCAGAGATGGTGTCATGGTGACCTGCGCAATTGAGGGCCCCTGATGCCCTCCAGGGGACTCCATGGCACAGGGCCCGTCTCCCGTGGAAAGTCTGGTGGTCTGGCCGAAGGTCCGGGTCCTGGCCCAGCCAGGTTCAGATCCTGCTTCTGCCCTGACCTAGCTGTGTGACCCTGGGCAAACTGCTGACCCTCTCTGTTTTAAAGTCTCCTCTTTAAAAGGGCCTAGTGGTGACAGTGCCCTCTTCGGGGCTGTTGGGAGTCTCCAGCCAGCTGGGCCCTGGGAGGAGCCCCGAGGGGGCGGCCACTGCCTTGTGACCCAAGCACAGTGACCTGGTTGGTGGGAGGGCTGCGCCCCCTCGGATGTGGCCCCCAGGGCAGGTGTCGGTCTGTTCAGAGCAGCCTGCGGCCAGGTCCCTCAGGAGTTGCAGGGTGGCTGTGGGCTCCCAGCCCGGGCAGATGACCATCTCTCTGCCCACCTGGGGCTGGAGGGGACTTTCCAGGGCTGGAGGGGGACCGTGGAGGGGACCAAGCCCCTGGTGGCCCTGACCGTGGCCCTGACCGCTGTCTGCCTTCTGCAGGGGGCGGCTTCCACCACTGCTCTAGCGACCGGGGCGGGGGCTTCTGTGCCTACGCGGACATCACACTGGCCATCAAGGTGTGTCCCCGAATGCGGGTGGGGACCAGGCTCCAGGGGCCCAGGGTCCTGAGTTCTATGGGGCCAGGCATTGACCGGGGTTGGTCAGTGAGGTAGGGGACCAGGGGGCCAAGGGGGTATAGCGAGGGACCCAACAACAGGGACCTGGCAGCAGCCGGCGCCCACCGTGCGCCCAGCCCCGCCAGCTGTCCCCCACGGCTGGACCCTACACGGGGGACTCCCAGGGAGACTGAGGCCCAGCGGGGCTTGTCACGCACCAGAGTGAGCTGGGGGGTGGCCCTCAGGACTGCCGGTCCCCAGAGCCCCCAGCCACTCTGCAGTGGCCTCCTGCTGGGTGTGGGGACGGGCAGGGGCTCAGCCACCATGGCCCTCGAGAGGGGGGGAGCACAGAGACCCAGGGGAGGGCAGGAGGGGAAGGAGGGAGACTTCCAGAGGAGGCTCGAGGGCTCGGCCCTGCAGGAGGCAAAGCCTGGGGAAGCTGGGCCTCCGGGCCCATCTGTCATCCCAGCAGCTGGGGAGGCCGAGGCAGGA